GTGTTCTAAACTATGCATAATTAAGTCTGCATAACTTTTCTTCTTTCTTCCATACAAAATATGCTTCAAAGGAAGGGATCTTGGTGAGATGTTGCGAAGTATGTATGACAATGCCAATATTATTTTATGGTCAGTAATTGATGGTTACAGAAATAACCATACCTTGTCTATATTTTGGAAAATATCCAGGAAAATGTGTCTTAAATCATTACGTTAGTCAGTTTACAACACCAGGCGCCTTTGTCGAGAGAGGCTTGGGGATTCTCCAGGGAAGTCGGTAGACTCCATTTCACCCCCTTTTATCAGAAAACACATGTTACATTATCACATACGAAAGTTTAATGTTCACATATTTAAAAAGAAACATTTAGTTTATGTTCTTTATTTTTTTCGTTATTATTTACCCTTCGTCATTTCAAAAAGTGTTTTGAACGAACGATTAATCGTGAAATTCGGTCACTAGAAAGTTATCTTGATAGTCTAGCAGGGATCGTTTAACCACAAAGTCTTAAAATAACGTAGAAAAGAGAACATCACAAAGGAAAGTCTAATAGGAAACGCTAAACATGAAAGTCTAACAGGAAACGCTAAACATGAAAGTCTAACAAGTTAAGTCTAACAGAAAATGTCTGAAAGGAAAGTTTAACAGAAAACTCTAAACGCGAAAGTCTAACAAGTAAAGACTAATAGAACACGTCTGAAAGGAAAGTTTAACAGGAGACGCTAAATATGAAAGTTCAACAAGTAAAGTCTAACAGAGAACGTCTGAAAGGAAGTCTAACAGGGAACGTTTAAAATCATAACCCACCATGGAACGTCAAACAAAGAACATCTAATAGGGAATTTACAAGAAAGAAAGTTTAACAATGAACATCTTACAGAGAACATCTATCAGGAAACAACCGTTAGGGGATGTCTAACATGTTTTTTAAACAGAGACATTAAACACAGAATTTCTGACAAAGTACATCTTACAGGAATCGCTTAACACACAACTTTTTATATGGAACGTCCAACAGGAAACGTATTTCAGAAAAATAATTAACAGAGGAATGTTTATCAGGAAACGCTAAACATGGATATCTAACAGAGAACATCTGACAGGAAACGTCTATTAGGGAATGTCTTACAGGGAACCTTTACCAGAGAACATGTATAAATTAGAACGTCTACCGGAGAACGTTTAACAAACTATCTTAAACAGGGAACGTCTAATAGGAAATACTTAATGAGAAATAGTCAATAGCAAAGCGTTTAACAGGAAACGTTTGTGAGAAACGACTTAAAAAGAAAATGTTAGAGAATGTGTCTAACAAGAAACGTCAATCAGGAATTGTCTTACAACAAAATGTTAGAAGAAGCGAGAAACGTGCAACGGGGATGTCGCATAAAGACCCTCTAACAGGAAAAGCTGGTTTAGGTAGGCCGAGTTGATTTGATTAGTGACGTATATGTTACGGTCTAGTTAGACCCGAACATGTTTGATTAATGACGTATGTCTTTACCGTGTACAAAAGGCCGGATCCTATTCGATTAATGGCGTACATATTTTATGTGTAGCTAGATAGAAACATGATTGATTAATGACGTATGCGTTAACAGTGTACAAAAGGCCAAAACGAATTCGATAAGTGACGTAGAAAGGAAGGCCGTATAGTGATCAAATGATGTTAAACAATTACTTCAATCAAAGCAAAAACATATGGAGTAAACAAATCAAGTTCGTTCTCCGACGTGCTGTAAGCTCGAATATATTGAATATGACTAAAAGCCATGGCACGCGCACGCGTACAGATAGTATGATTCTTCATCCGCGTGAATAAAACCATGCGCACTCTACCAACAACAGACGATATTGTGTATATCCTTAGCTGCACGTACACGCTCCCTAACGTTGACGTATCGCTTGCGCATGCAGAAACCGGGAGATAATTTCTTTGAGCCGCCAGTGTTACTAGTTGGAAGCCTCATTCTTGGATGAGTATCGCTATTCTCTGCAACGTTAGTTTCATATCCCATCACACACCCGATCACTGATAATGGAGTCGTGAGAAGGCTCGCATCTTAGAACAAATATACTGCCGTAGTTGATCTACTTTACAAGTTATGACCTGTGGAGCCTCTAACTATACTACCATACTTTATCTACAATATTTCATGTATTAGTCCTATTGAGACTCTCATACTTGTAGATGTCATATCTTACCTACTATCATCTAGAGATATTGCCCATGAACAAGATACACTTTTCTTTTCTTGTTCAAAACTACTTCAACATAATATCTGTAGTTCCGTCGATGTAAGTTAACAACTGAATATCTGTTGTTCCGTCGATGTAAGTAAACAACTGAATATTTGTTGTTCCGTCGATGTACGTTTACAACTGAATAGCTGTTGTTCCATCGATGTAAGTTAACAACTGAATATCTGTTGTTCCGTCGATGTACGTTTACAACTGAATATCTGTTGTTCCGTCGATGTAAGTTAACAACTGAATATCTGTTGTTCCGTCGATGTACGTTTACAACTGAATATCTGATGTTCCGTCGATGAACGTTAACAACTGAATATATGTTGTTCCGTCGATGTAAGTTAACAACTGAATATCTGTTGTTCCGTCGATGTACGTTTACAACTGAATATCTGTTGTTCCGTCGATTTACGTTAACAACTGAATATCTGTTGTTGCTTTTTTAATAACGTTCGTTTTTTGTAACCGTCAGAACGAAAAAACGCGTCGACATCAAATCTAATATGTATATTTTTGAGGGTTTTATCTAAATATAACACGTAAAAGCTATTTCTATAGTTCTGTATTAATTAGCTATTCAGCTAAGTCAAAGGATAAGAAACATCACTATCAATTAAATAACTGCATTGATAAGAGCGAAAATTTCGAGAATTTAGCTCACTGGTAAGCTTTTGGTAATGAAAGCTGTGTACTAGCGTCAGCATGTCAGTACTTAGTCTATTTGTGTACATGATTGTATTAAATGATGTATTCGTTTATGTCCAGGTTATATTTATGTCGATTACTCGTGGTTGTCTCCATTTTCAGTTTCTTTTCACTCCAACCATCAAAGCAATACAACATACAGTATTAAAACATAATATCAAAAACAAGAAAAGCAAATTGAAAAACTATATGTACATCAAGGACAAAACAACAAATAGTATAAGTGATTGAAGTTAATATATCAGGGTTGAATTCAAAACAATATATTTACATTTGCTATGCATCCTTCCATTGCAATGCATTGAGAAGGCAAATTTTGTTATGAGACAATAACAACATTTGCTATTGAAACGTCATCAATCTCTATTGTGTCGTCATCAAGTTCATTGTTGCCAATAATTAATTTGCTGTTCAAAAACTGTTCGAAATAAACAAAGCATGACTACTCTATGAAAATGTAAACATAAGTAATGAATATTTTAGCCAATGTTGTTATGGTCCTATAACATTTGCTAAAACATTCATTGCTTAAAAACAGCATGTAGTATTTAAATATAATATGAAATAACACACAGAAATGCAAAATGAATCCTGTACTTGAAAGACATAACAGCACATTATATTGGTGAGAAAAGTAAATATATCGGAAAAACCCATAATTTTATAAGTCCCTACCCAGAACCATCCATCAGAGGAAAACAGACATTTGTCTGTAAACATATATCTATTTTGGAACTCTTCTCTGTGTCGATATCGACAGTGGAACTTTTCTCTGTGTCGATAACGTCAGCAGATTCACTCTGCCTACTGATGACTCATTCAGGAGGGTCTAACACTAGGAAACAAGGTTGTGGACAATTGAGCGCTGTTTTGTAAACATGTTTACATGTCTGGTCTATTTTTAGATATGCACGTACATGTTTTTACTGCTTTCTACTGATATCGTTGAGTCATGCAAATACCTTATCGACACATTTCCAACATATATGCACAGGCAGTACAAGTACAGTGTAGGTTTCTGGATCACTTGTGTTTTAGATATTCCTTTACAACAGGTTTTGTATTGAGTTTAACGGAATTTCGATCAACTTCTAGATTATATCTTTATATCCGTAGCCAATATGTTATCTTTTCATGAACGATTTTCTTTTACTTAAGGAGAAAATTGATATATTTGAATGCCAATATGCAGATATTAATGACAAAAGAAAAATAAATTGTGATAATTTGCCCCAACATAATAGTTTGAACGGTTCGTTTTAAGTAATAAAGCATCATCATCGAAAATAGGCAAATGACAAAATAATTCAAGCATGAAATAATAGCATGAAAATTCATTTCAATTTGCGTAAGTATGGTTTCATCAATACTTTGCTTTGTAAACTAATTTCATGCTGCTGGTTCTATACGAGGCTGACGTCAAAGAATCGACTCATTGAGTAAATTCTCTTGTCATTTTAATATTGCCTCTCTGAGTTAATTGTCCTGAATTTTATTATTATTTCTGTGGGTTTATTCTCCTTGAAATTATAGTAATGCTTATTAGAGTGAATTATCCCGTAAGTGCAGTATTAACTATTTCAATCAGTTATCTTGTCATTTAAGTATTTCCTGTTTGACGTTATTATTAAAAATCCTGAGCGTTTCCTTACTGAATTATCATCCCCTTTCGTCCTAAACAGATTATTCATTATTGATTAAAGTAGGATAATACCAATCACATAAATCAAAACTATATTGAAGATATACCAGGAGTATTGCAAGATTGTTTACATATATTGTTTATAACTAATATCATAACTCTATTTGAAGATACCTATGAAATTATTTAAAAGAATATATATATACAATACAAAAAAAACACATCCAAAGCCCTATATATATCAATTTATATTATGGTTCAATATAATAGATGTTCACCAGGGTAATTTGATATTGAATTAAATATAAAGTAACAATACATATACTTACAAAAAATGTGAGAGATAAAGACTAAAACATAATAAAATGTTTTATTGGTTACTGACAATCCACGTATTTACAGGTGTTGACAGGTGTGTCAGTTTTCGATTTTCTGCATCAGCAATTGATTACACCCTACCCTCAAGATGAGCACGAGAGCAACAAAATCTGGAGCCGCTTGGTCCAATGAAAAGAAAATGGAGGAAGTAAGCTTACAATTTGTTATTGTGGTGTTTCCATTTTCTTTATACAGGATAAGAACAAGATAAAACCGTCAAGATGTCCTCACGAGCCAAAAAATCCGGTGTAGCGTATGACATTGAACGGAAGATGGAGGAAGTAAGATCAGATTTGTATTTATGATACGCTTGGAAATTCGGCTGATAAGTGTTCTTCTGTTCAAAAGTAGTGTTTCATCAAGAAAAAAAGCAATAGTGAATTATGTTATCTTGGTTTTATTAAAATCGTTATTTCGTTAGTTAATCATGGGAGAGAGAAAAGCAAATTATGTTGTCATGGTTTTATTAACATTATTCTAATTAGTAAATCATGAGTAGTTAGTTAAATACTATAATGTTGTTTCTTAATAAATCCTACTTTCGCATCAACCATATATTGTAAATTGAATAAACACTTCTTTTGTGGAAGAACATTAATCACGTATAATGGCATCAGTTTTACAATTATGAACGCTTTTTGATATTTGATATTGGTCTTGCATTGTATATATGTATTCCAATTGAATTATCTGCTAAAGGCGTATCTTATCTGATAAAAATAATTATGAATATCAGACTGAATTTTACATGAGGAACATTTATATGATATTGTTAGCACATATCACGCTAGCAATATTATCAGGACTTTTTAAGCAAACGACTTTTAGCAAAATGAATATTCATTCCGTAACAGCGATTTCGTGACAGGATGTCGTTTTGTATTTAAATCATAACGTGGAGAAATAGCCTCAAACATATCACAAAGCGTTCATAACTGTTATAAACTGATTTTTTTGTAGTGACTGCTCGACCTCGATCACGGATGACTGCCAATCACTAGCGATGCACGTGTTTGTCATCCCCAAAATCACCCATGTGTAACGCTTTTGTCACGTGTCTCTGTTCACAGTAAACCCATTCCCTACTGTCTCATCTTCCAATCATCGCCATCAGCGTCCGCTATCAAGATGTCTTTTAGATCAAATAAAGCGGGCTTTGGTTATGAAGTTCAAAGAAAAATGGAGGCTGTAAGGAAAACTCTCAAGTACTATAAAGTTGTTTCTAAGACATGCATAATCAGACAAATTCAAATGAGAATATATCATAGAAGATTAGCATGAGTTATAGTTATTTCATTCTGTAGTGTCTTTTTAGATAACATATTGTAGATACCATCTCTTTATTAATTTAGAAAATGAACCTTTCGAATTCGTAGCAAATAATATGTTCTTTTAAAAAAAATCTTGTTTTCTGCCTCTTTATTCGAGCAATTTTTTATCTGTATTTTGATATATATAAGAAATCCCTATTTGGGACAGCATTTGACATCACATCCACAAAAGATCAAAACCATTGAATTAAAAACATGCGTATATTTATCAACGAAATAACAAAATTGATTATGTTGTTTTTGCAATTAAGACACTGTTTCCACAAATTAATTAACGCTTGTTTTTAAAAGATCCTAATTATTGGAAAAGGGAGATGACCCTCATATTTAGAAACGATATTCCTTATGTTACCTTTTAAAAAACTTACATAGAATCCAAATGCAAAATAACGTAAAGTGAAAGACTTCAGGCACGTCACTGTATATTCCTAAACAATATCATTGAACACGTTATTTGCTATTTCATATCCATGAAAAGAGATGGTTTTGCAAGACATTACTTCGCTTAGCTATCTTTTTCTTTACAATTATAAATGGAGTGATATGCATGATAGACACATTAGACGTTAGCAACAGCACATATGTATGAAGTAGACGTATTTGTGAGGACAATAGCAAGGGGTACTTTAACAAGACATGTATTTATAGACAGAAACATATGCTTGGGATTTGATATAAACAACATGTGTATACTTTAACAACTCGCCTGGAAACCTCTTAATTGTTCTGTCTTTAATACCCGTTGCAGTTTAGAGTATGTAGCTATTTGTCTTTTCTCTTGTTTTTCTCTCCAACTCGATATTTCACTCTACATTTGCATAATTATGTCTACCAGTTTAAATAATCCTGCTTAGTACCTAAGCAGATTATATGAAATCAATGATCGTTTTAATTATATCCACTTTCCTTTCGCTAGTCTTTATCAAAATTATTGACATTCTTCGCCTGCCAATTTTTGCTCTCATCACTTTGTCAATCAAATCTCCTTTTATTTGCATGCGCGTTCGCGGGATGTCATGTTACACGCGACTCCTTATAACTGCTGAATATATCTTCGGTCACCTGACAGATGTATTCTATTTTTAGCATATGCTTCAGTTCATCATTTACTCATGCAACAATAAAATCTACACAGTCATTTCAAATATTGCTCTTGCATTTTATGAAACAGAATATACCTGCTATGCTTGCGCGTTCATCTGTCACATCACATTTTTGATATGCAATATATCATCTGTTCCACTGTCCATTTATCACCAAGTCATATACAACTTTTCTATATAAATTGTGGTTGTTCAATCAACTAGAACCTGTCTTAAATGGTCCATTTATAATCCGAAACCTTTGTCAACCAATGCTTTAACTGACTGTATAAAATTGTTTGCTTATCGAAATATCAGCAATACAACATTCTGCTAATTATTCCTGAATAGCTATTCCCTATTGTGTTGAGTTCAAAATCACGCCACTATGAAAGAATGAAATCAAAAGGCGGAAATGTATTTTTAGTTAAACATCTTTCCAACAAAAAAGTCCGATCTACGTAAAAGTAGAAAAATGATGTTGCATATCGAGAAACTCTCGCCCTTTCAAGCCCTTTCAAACTCTCGCCCTGTCAAAATTTCGCCCATTCAAACTTTCGCCCAGTTTAGCTTTCGCCTTTCACATTTGATTTGATGTTTATTTTGTTATTCACTAATGTCCGTTATAATGATCAAATTGACCTTATTACAGAAAGCAACAAAAAGGCAAACCTGGACTGCGGCGAAATTTTCCTAATATGCAGTACATCCGTCTACAAAAAGCTAGAGAATTGCTGTTAACTTATTATATTATTGATGTTTAACAAAACAGTTGTTGACAACGTTTTCGGCTCATAACGTTTTCGTTTTGCACCTACTGTAAAATCATAAATTTTCGTGGGACATTAAATTTCGTTTATTTTGTGAATAACAAAAATCCACAAAATTAAATCCCCACGAAATCATAAATTTGGTATGATATAGATAGGGGAAAATCGAAATCAGCCTTGAATAGTGTGCTTGAAAAAGCCTTTTATATGAAAACCACGAAATTTTAACCCCACGAAAATAAATGATTCTACAGTATTTGCGTTCACCAAGGCAACTGTAGACCTCAACCTTAAGTAGAAAGCTAGAACTTTTTTCTGTGATACTATACACAACGTGGATATCCCACTGTGTCTTGCGCTCATTCAACTCACTTTATGTTATTGCCATGGTCTGTATATCACTGTACCATATACTTAGTCCAACATAATCATCCCACTGTGTTTTGTGATCATATCATATTAACCGTCTAGTACTCCTAATACATCATTTATAATTATAGGAAATATTAATTATATTTTTATTTAGATATGAAGGGTATTTGGTACACTGCATACAATTCATTTTCTCGGATAGCAACACATCCTTTCGTTGCAAAGTCAGTTTTCTTATTTAGATTCTGATGGACCAGAAATTTGACTGAAGGGGGATAACTTTTGCTTCTGAACTTATGGAATACCATTACAATATATATTTTCTTCTAAATGAGTGGATACATTTTACGAAATATGTTGTAATACGAAAAAATGAATTTTTTGCAGTTAGTTATTTTGATATAAAAATACCCAAGGTAGTCAATCTTGTTTTTTTATTGCTGTGTTTGATCGTTTTAATCAAATTTATTATATCATATCCATAACTTGGACTTTTACCATATGACTTTCGATATATTTCATTTTATTTCAACAACATATGAATTTTTCATAAAAATAACCATATGCTAATTTTACATTTTGTATTTACATGTCAATAACATGAACTCTTATTACTTTCGTTATCTTGTGTGCATTATACTAGGAAAAATAATTTTGATTGTGTTTTATTATTTTCAGTATATATTTTAAATAAAATATTTCAATTCGTCATCATATATCATCACGTTTATTAAACAGATTTATATTTGTCATATGAAAATTGAAAAAACAAATATGTATCATGTTATTGGATATTGTTCTTGCCATAAACTGTATCGGCAGAAAACAATTATATGTACACTTATACGATATAGGTGTTTCATTGAGCCAAATGTTGACGATTGATATAAAAGAATATATTCGTTGGAAATCGATTGACTGATGTTAAATTAAATTCACTAATGCAAAGGTTATTTTTGTCTCATTTTTTTCCATGAAAGTAACCTCCTCTGTGAATTTAACTTTGAGTAAAATTGTGTTACTACTACGAACATTGTAAAATGGATATTTGCAGCGAAAAACAACACCTGTTTGGTAATTTATCTGAGCGGATTCTCCGGAAATTTGACAATACCATACTTACTGCACTGTTCGAACTATTTCTTTGTCCTATAAAACCCATTTCAAGTAACTTGTATCAAATATGGGAATTCCTCGATCGGACGCGAAAAAGGTATGGGGTCACCTGTCCGTTGGTTTTCTCCTGGTAATTCGGTTTTCTGTCACAATAAGATCCCCTGTGCGCTAACATTCAGGCCAACAAGAGTGATTATATAAGTTGAAATAACTTGTTTCATAATTGTTGTAAAATAAATAAAGTTTATATATGGGAATTAACATTTTTTACCCATATCTGTAAGAGGAGAAACGGTATGCATATGTAATCTTTCTTGTACAGAATTATGATAGAGAAGACGCGCAAGGAACACCAAAACACATCATCAATTGGATAAACAGTGTCATGAGCGGCGAAAAAGACTACGTGGAATGTGTAAGTATGCACTCGTCGTGTTAGGAACATCTACAAGGATAACAATTATTAATTTGTAAGATTTGTTTTCCTATTTACTTATGTAGACTGGATTACATGCCTTAGTACCATTTGTCTCCGCTAGACTGCGCTTCTTTGTCTCGTTGTCAAACTATCGGTAGCCGTCAACACTTTCTGTAAAATAAGAAAATGCTACCGATGTATTTTCTCGTTTACGGAAATTGCAGACGGTTTTCGATTGATTTTTAAAGTGAAGAATGGAGGAGAGTACAAAAACTACGGCAGGCAACCCAGTTTATTTACTGTTTTTGTCAATTTATTCATAAGTCATTAGTTGAATCTGAAAACGTTTGAACACCAAGAAAAGAAATACTTAACAACTTTAAATAGTTTCTACAAACATTTCCTACATTGTACAATATTCCCTTACTTGTGCTTTTGCAATGTGTATGTTTGTATACATCAGTCCTCAACTGTGTCACACATCTAGTAAATCTTGCTATAATTATACAGCCAATATCAAAAGTCACTAGAACAAAATATGTTGTGGTATTGCCCAAGTAGTTTAAACTCTTCTACGGCTGAAACATAACGGTCGTTTTCCTTAAATGAAATATTCTCCGACATTTTACACTGTTAGCGATACATTATTATTTCGTCTTCTTATTCTTTGCGAGGACGTTTGTATTTATTCGTCCGCACATTAACTAATGAGTTTTTGACGTCGTAATTAAGCACTTGTTCGGCATTACTTAATAAATCAGAATCCATTAAGCTTGAATCTGTTCTTCTTCATCATCATTAAAATTCAAAATAGTTGATTAAATTCAAGTCATGTGGTTAAGTCGTAAAACAAGAAAATAAAACCCCTATCTCTACACTTTTAAATTAAAACGTTATTTGTCTAACCATTTAATTTAGCTAATTTCTCTTCAAATAGAGTTATGTTTTCTTTGACTTATTGAATTATAATTATCTTACAGGCAAAAGCCAAATGTGAATATTCAATTAAAAAGAAACTTTTCTTCTAACGTTTATGCTTATCTGTATGACAATCTACAATCTATCCACAGAATCATTTTTATAACGGAGAAACTTGAGCGCCAGTAGTGCTGATATACAGGTATTCATGGTTTGATAAAACCGTCAACAGAGTGCATTTTCGAACACCACCATTATCCATTTATTATATCTCCACATGATAACCCAAATCTCCATCCAGCGTAGATGCTTGCAGGACCAAATGGTACGCCACTGATGATTTAATGAAAATTGCACGAACTTTTTTATCCTTCCTTTACTTTAGTAATAAGCTCAAATATAATCCATATAATTTAAACAGTACATTGATTTTATTTTTGAAACCTTTATATTTGCAACGAAGTAAATCAGAAATTTTACGCATGTTTATTCTTTGAGACATTGAAATATATAATGTAATATTATCGTTCGTATTATTTTTCATTTAACACAATGGCGTACCATTGCATTCCATTTTCCTTCCAGAAACATCCTCCAAATCCATGACAGTAGGAAAGATACCTACCTTTTGTCTACCTAACCTGTGAACAACACATCTTGTTATGAACTATTTTCTATAGATAATCTCATGTGTGCCTCATTCTCGAAAACGTTTAAACAGAATTACCATTTTGATTTCTGGTTACAGTCATTTTGAGCAGCATATTATAAAAACATATTTTGATTTCTACAAAATTATTCAATGACAAAAACAGATTGTGTATAGATTTAGCCCTTTACAACCATAGCATGGTTTCAACAACAGTAGTCTATGACAAAAGACTATGATAAAATATAATATCAATTTGTGGACTTCTGTGTGTTTATATATATGTAATTGGCCCGTCACACATGCATTTTGTCACTTTACCATTCACAGACATTTTGTATGTTTTGTTTTTGAGTGTTCTCTGTGGATTCCTTTTTTCAGTGAAAACATATCATTATCACGGTAGTATGCATCCTATAATGCTACCCGTTTATACAAATGCTGGAACTGGAAGCTAAATGCCTGTTTAATTTAGAAAGAAATTAGTACTTAATAGGAATCATATTGTGCAAAAACAAATATTCGAATTAGAATATATGGTTTTCCGACTTTCGTGTGCGACTACGTCCACAAGAACGTATCCTTAGAATAAATCAGAAAACATATTATATACCAAAGCAACAAGAAAAGAAACAAAATCAGAAAACTAAGTTTCGAAATATTGATAAATAGCTGTTGGTTCAAATAAATGCTGTATTTCTGATGTTTCAAATTGATCATCTAAATCTCACCCATATATTATTCTTGATGCAATATTAATAAATTAAGTATATCAATTCAGCAAATATTTCCTGACGAAATAAACCATTCTACACAAAGACTAAATCAGGCATATAACTTCCTCTTTCAGCTTATTTTACTCTTGTTTATATTGGTACAAATTGGTGTGAAACCTTTGCCCCTATACTTTGTATAAATCCGAATATATATACCATCCATAATTATTAACCGCTTGAACAGCCCACCCTTCCTCACCTTATATCCTTTGCTCTTTTTCATTTTAGAAAGATACTGACTGGAAAAGCTTGTGTACCTTTTTAAGAGACGGTGTAATACTATGCAAGTAAGTCTGATATCATCTGAGATCATTTACAGTGTGGGGTCTCGCTCTCTATCATTTGATAAGCATGCCTTCTTTAATATTGGACTCCTAACTAACGCTTTTCCATGTTCGAATCCCTCATGAAAAGACACAGCTCTTGTATAACAAAATTATGGGTTGCATGACATAGTTGGTAGTGCGCCGTCCTGTCTACCCCAATGTCATAGGTTTGGGATTCAATGAGGGTAGGAGGTAGTTGTGGCACTAAGCCACACTATTTATCATTGTTTCTTAATTTCACCTGCATAGATGGTCGGAAATATCCCATTATAGGAATTTGGTATCTTTTACCTTCAATGGTATCCATGTATATTTACAAACTCCACGTGCAGGGCATGCTAGTATTTTTACAATGAAAATAAATATTCAAATAACCACTGAAAGAAATGTTAGCCTTATTTATGTATCATGTAATTTGTTCATTGTTTGGCAATGTTCAGACTCTACCTTTTTGTTGTTTTCTATTTGAGTAGTCAATGACGTAGATGTATAACTTGGAAACATTATGATTCATACCCACATAAAGTGTTAGCATTACATTGGCCAGACACTCCAGGCAAACTGAAAAATAAATCCTGTCAATCATAACTGCTTGTGTGTGGTAACTTGCTCGCCAAAAAGACTGACTCTCTTTTATCTGCCGTTGGAAGTTCGTATTCCAGCTTGCATCGTTATTTCATTGAATTAAAAATCCCCGTTAATATTGTATAAAGTATTTTAATCGTTATCATTTGCCAATCTTCATCTAGATATCTCGTTACATGCTCAAACATTTATTCTCTTGTAATGCCATCAAATTAGATTTTTTCATCCTATCATGATACATACTTGCACATTGTTCTATATTTAAATTGCTTAGCACGCTGAATCGAGATAACAACTTGATGTGTGAATCATTAAATATAATGTAATACTCAGTTTTTAGATATAAACATATAAATCATACAATTACATCTTTACGATATCATATATATTTTGACACAAACTATCAATTTGCATGGGTTTGTTTTAGGTTTATCAATATCTTATTGGCAAAAGAGGAAAAACCCAAAGTTCTGTTCAGTAAGAAATGCGCAAACAGCTTCGCCGCCATGACAAACATCGAAAACTTCAACAAAGGCTGCGAAACATACGGTCTTGCCAAGGAGTTCTCCTTCCAGAGCGGAGACTTATGGGAACTGCGCAAAGGGCCATTCTACAACGTCATTAACTGCCTACACAGCTTAGGATTCACGGTAAAGTTAGAATTCAAGGTTTAGTCAGAATTCACGGTAAAGGCAGGGTTCACGGTTTCGTTAAGATTTATGGTAAATTCAGGATTCACGGTAAAGTTAGAGTTCATAGTTAGATTAGGATTCAGTGTTAAATGAGGACACATGGTAGAGTTAGAATTCATGGTTAAGCCAGGATTCACGGTAAATGAAGGATTCGTTGTTTAGTTAAGTTTCAATGTAAATTCAGGATTCACGGTAAAGTTAGAATTCACGGTTTAGTCAGAAATCACGGTAAAGGCAGGGTTCACGGTTCCGTTAAGATTCATGGTAAATTCAGGATTCACGGTAGAGTTCATAGTTAGATTAGGATTCAGTGTTAAATGAGGATTTATGGTTAAGTCAGAATTCATGGTGAAGGTAGAATTCATGGTTAAGTAAAGTAAAGTAAAGTTAGGAACACGGTAAAATTTTATTTCACAGTTAAATTAGTATCCACGGTAAACTCGGTAAAGGTAGGATTCATGGATAATGTTTTAGAATTAGGGATCCCCGCGCGTACCACTGCCAAAAAACCTCTTAGTAGGTATTGGATGACTTTAGTTTTAATATATCATAACTGAAAAGATAGGTATACCTGCGGCACTTTTATGAATTAATCATATAGATTTAATAAAACAAAACAACACAAAAAAAAACATCAGCAACAGTATTCAAAGTATAAAAAATACAACTGCACCTAACCAGGATTCGATCTTTAGACCTCAGATCATTATTTATGTACTATCGCCCTAACCAACTTAACCCTTTCACCACTGTAGACCATAATGGACTCATCCAGATCAATGTATAGTAGAGTCTACTAAAGTTACATAGGGGTGAAAGGGTTAACTTGTCAACGGGAGTTCTCTGGTCCAGTCCTGCTACAATTATATCAAAAACGAAATTAAGAGCAGGTAAATGTTTTTTTACAAAATAACTACAGCGGTATCCTTTCTTGTAAATTGCCTGCGGTGAGACAGGGATCATCCGGGTTACATTGTTGTGTTTGGGGATTCCGGGTGGAAAGTGATGAGAATTAGTATTGACATTACCCGTCCGTCTCGTTAAAAGCTCTTAAAAACCAAAAACCAATCAGAAAAAGATATTTCTATATAAATGTCATTTACATGATATATTTGTACGTTATTTTCGCATCAATTTTTATTTTTTGAACATATATTTAAAGTATTCGAAAACATGCGATGTTTGTAGAAATCCATCCATTAACGCTTTTCAACTAAATCCTCGATCATTACCCAAAATGTTCTTTTCTCAATTGTACCACACTAACTTCTTGCTTTGTTTATTCCAGGCCAATTCTAAAAGCTATATTCCAGCATACGCTGGAGAAATAACCAAGTACGCTGACAGGGATTAAACGGGAGGATTAGCAACATGACGTCACCAATTACTGCCATATCTTTAGATAATTTGTAATTCCAACTATTTACGTGTAAATAAAAGCAAATTAAAGTATCAGTTCTTATTCTGAAATGAACAAGAGTATCGTGTTACAGCGACATCGGGAACCTGTGACAAACGGAGATGGCAGCTTGAGGTCACGTCATTGTATAATGTCCATCTACTGCTATACATGTGTACTTCTGTTTATTATTTTTTTATTTTCTGTTCACTTGGCTTTTTTGTCTGTGTCGATGTAGGGCAGAAGGATATACACGATTATTGTTGTAAATAACTGTCGGGGGAAGCACGTCTCCGATGGGAAAGCATTGTGAAATCTTTAATGAACAGACAAGAGAAATGGGTCTACATCCAAATAACACGATTATCAGTTCAGAATTGTGATAGATTGTCTGAGTATCTCATTTGGATCACGTGGTCCAAAAATATGTTTACATAAAAGGTTTTGGAACATGAATATCGGATCTAGGTCAAAACGACGATTATTGGAATTAAATCTGATCAGTATGGACAGTTATCGACATTACGAGCTAATTGGATTACAATCCCGATGCCAAGTAACAGGACCTTTAGCATCTAAAGCAGAATTGAGAATGATTTGGGGGGTGCTGTTTCGTAACTCTTGGTTCCACTGACTGTTTTACCTAAAGGTCGTTTTAGAGATAATCTACATGTTACAAAGTTCAAATATCAAATCCATCATAATCAATAGATTAGACAATGGAAATCGTCTATATCATTATTTATACAATGAAATTTGCTTATGAAAATAAATATATCATTGTTGTTTGTAACTTCGTTTGTACTTTGTGAAATAATCAGGGATGTTACTACCAAGAAAAGTAATCTTCACGATCGGAAATCAAAATGTCACTTACTGCTGGGTAGTAATTCGCGAAATACTGACCAGTGAAAACGTCCTGTTCATTGTTAACGAAAAGTAGTAAGAGGCATCCGACTATTACAGTATGTTTAGACCACTCCTGATGTGAAGGTGATATTACACAAACCATACCATTAGTATGCATCCTTAGGATATTTCATTCTTTTCAGAGCACATTTATACCCCTTAAATGTTTATTATGACTCGCTACAAATCAACAGAGGTCGACACATACTTTGAACACATCAAGATAATTTTTAAGTGTCAACAAGCCATTATACCGTTATTTCAACTCAAAATGGACCAAACTAGTGCAAAGTATGAACAACGTATAGGTTTACATGGACACCCCTGAAAAAATACCAGGAAAATGAAATCGAAGAAATGTCACGTCCTTAAAGCGAGAATCGGGGTAGTGACAACGAAACAACAAGGCATACCTATGGGCAAAATCAATAACATCTCAACTTTGATATCACACGAAAACTAGCATATTTTCCAATGAGATCATGATGGTAACTATAAAACCAATAGTCCATCAGCCTGCATCTTTGGCAAACCCTGTGTTGGACGTTTTTTTCCTCTGTAGCAGTGGACATCAATGATGGATATATAACGATACTTCGATACTGAATTATATGCGACATGTAAAATGCCTATGTTTTGAAAGCAGGGACGTTACTCTCAAGAAAGAGAAAGGAAAATCAAAATCGTCTCAATTATCTTATAACTTAGAATTAAGTTGCCCTGGTGGTCATTTTGCAAGATTAAGGAAATCAGCTGAAGAAGTAAACTTAATCTGTGGAATTTTTGTTCATAAGAGAATATCCGATCGACGTTGTTTATAAATTTCTTTTTATTCAAAGATAGCACATCGTCGGTGTATCTGAAGTGAAATTGGAGTAACTGACAATGTTTTTGCTACCAGTCTAATAAGCTCTTCAATAAATTCAGCCTCATATGAAAAAGGACAAGACGTTCAGGAGAGACCACATTATGTCAACAACACGACAAAGGCCGAAATAAACATACTGGAAATGAAATTGTAGAAATACGTGAGCTTGTCATAGGAAATGGTTTTGTTTTGAGTTCCCTGTTTTTTTAGTTTTATGAGGCGTTCCCGAGAACAAACCGTATTCCCTCTTCTTGGTTTTGTATTCATATGAGGCTGATTTTATTGAAGAGCTTATCAGGTCTGGAAACAAAAACCTATCCCAAGTCCTTCAATTCACATCGAGATATATTGACGATGCGGCGACTTTAAATAACAATAAATGTATTGGCCATATCGGTTGTAATCCCATCATGGTCTTAAAATGAAGAATCCTACAGATTCTTTCACTTCGGCTGCTTATTTTGATATGACCAATATGAATGACTTACTACAAAACCTTGTTATTAGCGGCGGGACGATTCGACTTTCCGATTATGAACTTTCTCTTTCTTAATAGTGAATTCAATCTCATATCGCAGCCTCCCAAAACACACACGCATACACTACACGCATGCATCTTGCATTACCATAGCTGTTGAAGGGACCTTAAACAAAACTGAACCAATCGGTATTCAATCCGAGTATCATAACTACCGTGATGGATGTCGACTGCTGATGGACAAACTCACAGCACTGCTAGTTAAATGTCGCCACCATAATGATATACTATTTCTTTGTAAGATATGAACTTCAACGATTTGATTTGTTGTTACTACCCGAGTTCTCGGTGAGAGGATGTGATATTTCTAGAATCTGACCCAGATTTACATGGCGTGATCATGTGTCGTCGATGAACCAGAAGACGCTTATTATTCGGGAACACCAAGTTTTATTCTCCTTGTAATATGTCAAGGGTATTCATGTAAATCGTTCCTTTGCTTATATTTTGTCCTATTTCTGTCGATTTTAAGTTCGAATGATGGTTTTCCGAATCATTGCAAATTATATAGGCAGGGAATTCTTGGTCATCAAGCAAGCATCTGGGTCTTGAGAAGAAGATTTTTGAAATTTTAGTCAATTTGACCCTTTTTGGCCCCGTCCCTCAGGCCCCTGGGGGCTGGGGAAAAAACTAAACCGGCAACTATTTTTGTTGACCTTTAGCCATGGAAGGTTTCTGCAAAATTTCATTGAAATTGGTTCAGCGGTTTTGGAGAATTGTTTACGGACGGACGATGGATGACGCCAGACAAAAGGCGATTGCAATAGGTCACTTGAGACTTTGTCTCAGGTGACCTAAAAATGTAGGAGAAAATCTCCCGACAAATTATCAAATACTGTAAGGAACAAAGGGCAATCACTTTTTCAAAACTCGTCGAATCAAAATCCTTTTAAAGGGAGACACAGCTTCATATCATGATGATAATGTATACCAAGTTTCAAAGAGATCTGTTGAAAAAAGTAGGAGAAGATTGCCGGACAAAAATCAAATACTGAAATAAACAAAGGGCAATAACTTTTGCAAAAATTGTCGAATCAAAATTCTTTTCAAGGCAACACAACAACATATCATGATTATTTAGCCTACTAAGTTTCAAAGAAATCCGTCAAAAGATTTAGGAGGAGATTGCCGGTTCAAATACTGAAATGAACAAAGGGCAATAACTTTTGGAACAATTGTCAAATCAAAACTCTTTTAAGGGGGACACAACTTCATGATTATAATGTAAACCGAGTTTCAAAGAGTTTGGTCGAAAAATGTAGGAGAAAATTGCCGGACAAACAAAAGTTTACATTGGACGGACAAACCCATACCATAATACTCCCGTCAAATTTGACGGGCGTGTAAAAACAAAGCTGATTCATTTTCTGATTTATTTATTTCTCTATATGCAATATTCATCAACATTAACAATATCAACAAAGATTTGAGTTTCTACTCAAGTTTTACTCAAGTAAACTTCCAAATGTTTCCTCTTTCATTAGTCCATGAAACAATTCACCAGCTTAATATTACACAAGCATATAATTTTTTGTCTAATTTCACTATATCCAGAATCAATCTGTTGCAACAAACCAAATATTGACAAATTTAAAAGTAATCCTCTAACTCGTTTAATAACAATATTTTTAATAGGCCCAGCGGTCCTGAATCGCCCACATGGATATATATATAAGCAAACAAGGAAAATATTCTTGTTAAAACTATTTTCTTTACATTAACATTTATTTCCCCCATTTTAGGTTTCGTCTCATACCGATGCTTCATAGTGAATCTGGCTCAGATTATTAAACAGGCACATGTTGATCAAATAGAAATAGATTAGTATGATTTTGATCAATTTCAATGCTATGCATGCACCGATTTCATAAACTTCAAAGTTATGTACGACTATTGTGTACTTTACTGTAAAATCAAAGTACAGGACCGCCCTACTTTACACGATCACCTGTATCCCTGCATAGAAATTTCAATGCGACAGATATAGCTTACAACCCATTGAAATAGGGAGCATGTATCAAAATATTATAAAATTGCTACTTAGGTATTTTTCATTTAGTCATGATCATGATGCTTTTAAGAATACTAAAGTAAGCAGAATATTACATTTCAGCCATGGTTTTCAGCCATTCACCTTGTGGTTTTATTATTGGTCCAGTATTTCTATAAATGGACCTTGAACCATTATTGACCTAATGATTCTTGTACTGTAGAGTCACATCTATCCAAGTTTCTACCCGACAAGACATCGTCAATAACGCGAGGCAGTCTCTCTTGTTTATGGCTATTGGCCGCGTCGACCAACCAGTCTAAAGCACAAAAAGGTTCATTCGGCATCTCTTTCATGATATATATCAGATGTTTAAGTCTTACTCTGCTACAGGAGGAGTTAAGATACACCAGGATATCCTTCACTGTTTGGTCTTCTTGTTCTGCCAGGGAAGTAAACTGAAAAAGAAAGAGAAAGACACACACTGATTATACCCAAATTACACACTTCAAACTAACCTATTAACCCATTCACCCCTAAAGTCACATTTGAACCTTACCAAATCAAAGTCCAGATGAAAAATGTTGGGGTGAATGCCCTAATGGAGAGGTGCCCAGTCCTGAGGAAGCTGATGGTAATTCTACAGTACCTGTATTCTTCCTATCCCCCAGCCTAGAAAAATATAATTTGTGTGGAGGGTCACCTCCCAGGCCAGGACCACTGACTGTCTGCTCCCTAACAATGTACCGTGTACTTTTTTACTATCCTCATCAAAAGCCAGTGACACATGCTTACTAAACATAATACTGGTGATTTTTATAAGCTGTATAGTGTAATTTAGTCAGAAAACCAACCTTGATAGTATCAAAACATTCATCGCAGTGAATTTCAAACACACGTTAATTTACAAAACAAATTCTGAATAATAGGATTCATCAGTTTGGTATGAAAAATAAAGACTATGTTTGTTTTGATTATAAATGTGAATTGAAAACTTATTTTGCAAGGTTTCGAAAATAAGGGGCGGAATGGGTAAACATGTTACCCGTTCCTCTGACTGCCTGCAGTATTAGAGTGCAATTGGGCAAAATGTCTCTATATTTTCGACAGCTGCCTTTACTGATTCGGCCCACTATGGCTTACATCTTTATTAGTGAGTGTTTTTTTAGCGATTTAGAGTCCAGACGCCACTCCTTGTTTGACAAAGGAAACAGACATTTTCGAAAGCTTGAAAAATAAGTTTTCAACTCTTATTTGTGTTCAAAACAAACTTGGCCTTTATAAATTCGAAATACCACTCATACATTTCTAGACACAGACCAAAAATACAAAAGACCTACAGAAACGGAAAATCAAGAAGTTTCAGTGATTAAAATTACAACCTACCACATCATAGAGGAACCCTTTAACGATGTTGTAGAGCACTGAAAGCTTGTTGGCCGAAGCCTCACTGTCCTTTTTTGCAGAGTCAACAGTTTGAGATGAAGATTGAGGTTTTTGATGAGTGTCCTGGGACCCCCCTGCTTCACTAGAGGAATCCCCACATCTTGTGCTATTATCACCATTTTGATGTAGATTTTGTGAGGCATTTAGTCCACTTGTTTTGGTCTGTGATGAAGTAAATGAAGACGAGGGTGACTGAGAACATTCTGATGAGTCCCGAAGGGAACAAGACAACCTTGACATCTGTACCAGTGGTGATAGAACTTCAAGGATTTTTACAAATATTCTTATCAACTTCTCATCTGAAAACAAAAACAGCTTTGTTATCATCTTTCATATGTACAATGAGCATTTAAAACTTAACAAGAGGCCCAGTGGGCCTGTTTAGCTCACAGAGATACTTAACAATCATGGTAAATTAATCTCATTCAAAGTAGTTTTCCAAATATTCCCACATTATCTAGCCCCAATCGGCTATCTGACCAAGCGTCGGGGCCAGCTCTGGAGACATAATCATAGTTTCAATTTTATGTTTTAAGTATAATCTTTATAATATGAATAAAATAATATCCGATGTGCTTTTTTTTTTATAATTGCTTGGTGTTTTTTTTATTTAAAACAAAGTGCATCATTGTTGCATTGACAAATCTGGTGTATTACAAATGTTGTTCGAACTCCTTTCTCCCAAATCTGATTTTCTGAAAGTTGACAGGTATGGCTACTACATTATATAAATATTACATTCATTAGAGTGTGACAAATGGAGTGTCTGATCACAGGCGAGTAAAACACAGTAGCAAATGGAGTGTCTGATCACAGGCGAGTAAACCACAGTAGCGAATTGAGTGTCTGATCACAGGCGAGTAAAACACAGTAGCGAATGGAGTGCCTGATCACAGGCGAGTAAAACACAGTAGCAGATGGAGTGTCTGATCACAGGCGAGAAAAACACAGTAGCAAATGGAGTGTCTGATCACAGGAGAGTAAAACACAGCAGCAAATGGAGTGTCTGATCACAGGCAAGAAAAACACAGTAGCAAATGGAGTGTCTGATCACAGGAGAGTAAAACACAGTAGCAGATGGAGTGTCTGATCACAGGCAAGAAAAACACAGTAGCAAATGGAATGTCTGATCACAGGAGAGTAAAACACAGTACCGTATGGAGTGGCTGATCACAGGCGAGTAAAACTCAGTAGCAGATGGAGTGTCTGATCACGGGCGAGTAAACCACAGTACCAACTGGAGTATCTGATCACAGGCGAGTAAACCCCAGCAGCAAATGGAGTGTCTGATCACAGGCGAGTAAAGCACAGTAGCAGATGGAGTGTCTGATCACAGGCGAGTAAAACACAGTAGCAGATGGAGTGTCTGATCACGGGCGAGTAAACCACAGTACCAAATGGAGTATCTGATCACAGGCGAGTAAAACACAGCAGCAAATGGAGTGTCTGATCACAGGCGAGTAAAACACAGCAGCAGATGGAGTGTCTGATCACAGGCGAGTAAAACACAGTAGCGAATGGAGTGCCTGCAGACCTACATGCACAATAAATTGCAATAAAAAACATGGCGCTGAAATGAACCATACGCACATCTTCTTTGCGTGGTCACTATTTTGCACTGTGACACACACTGTCACTCATTGCTCTATTGCTAGCTAGGGTGTTGGGAAGCACCCTTCAATTGGCTCAATGTTAAAGCGAATGTGAAAGTGTGAAATGAACAATTTGTCTTGACCATTCAGGCTACAGGATTTTCACTAGAGGTATTATAAAGTTATTTACCATAGGAAGACTTGTAACTGACTACTTATAGCAGGTGATTGCCAGGTGGTTGTTAGACAGCTTTTACTGTGGATCAGGTTGTCCTTGGTTTAGCGCTTTTGTACTGTGAATTAATATACAAATTCTTACAGCATATTATACTGCAGGCATAAGCCTTTTAACAATCTGTATGAACTTTCTTTAAAACTATCACCAGATGAAATCATTATTTTTATGTTGAATCTTACTTGTGAGGAGTTTATCGTGGACAGAATCGTCTGACAGGAAGAGAATGTTGAGTACGGACAGTGCAGAGGCGAGACATGAATCTCCTCCATCTAGATCCACAATCTCATCCTCGCAAAGCATGTCAAGGTGCTTCATCAGCGGCACTTCCAGGGCAGCACTACATGTCACTGAAATGAAACAGTTCTTTATTTATCACACTTACAGTTATCTGTAATTCCCAACTTTCTTTTTTAGACAGGCTAAATATAAATATAGATTATGATATGATGCTGAACTGAAACAATATCTTCTCAATACAGTATAATATCACAACTTCGAAAGATCGGAAATAAACAAAAACATCCTAGTTATCAGTGTTTTCTCCAGGTTTGAAAAAATTGGGGGCATTGGTATTGTGATATAAGCAGAATATAGAAATTGATCGGGGGGTGGGAGAAGGGGGAGATGTCACCACCCACCACCCCACCCCCTTCTGGAGAAAACACGTGAGTATTGCATTGAGTCAAGGAATAAAATTGTAATATAACTTTAAGTGTGATGTACAATGCTTGCCTCTATGCTATCTCATACCTGACATCTCTCTTAATCTGTCAGTTTTAGTCATGTCAGAGCAATGCCTGGTTGCACTGTCCTTACTAATATGATGGTATGAAACCCAGTTGCTTATGAACATATTTTTATGATGCTGGACAACAGAAATGTAAATATCAGACAGTATTTTTAAAATCTAACTGCTTCAAGTTGGTTGTTTCACATACCTAATGTTTCAACCCCTTTCTCTGTGGTGGAAAAAATCTGGAATATGTGGAAGTAAATCTCCAGGGCTTCACTGTGATGACACCTGCCAAGGAAAAGTGACATGCAAATGACAGGATGATAGATACAATAAGGATTTACCAATGCTGTGATTTTCATCTGTGAATTTGGGGCCTTAAAAAGTTACATGTATATATTATTACATTCTTTTCCAAATGACAGGACATGTCTCTCAGCCATGTGCTGTTATGATGCATGAACAGGTGACTCTGCATGGTTCCAATGGAAATGGAGCTCAACACAATGCTTTACCAAAGAAATGAAATTTAAATAAACGAAGTCAGTGGAATGAAAATATAAGGCCACAGTGACCTACATTTGATATATTAGTGTATTACTCCTAAAGATATTTCATATTTGTCGCTGATGACAACTGCTTTCAGTGGAAATGGAGCTAAACACATTGATTTACCAAAGAAAGGGAATTAAAAGTCAGTGGAATGAAAAATATAGGCCACAGTGACCTACATTTGATATATTGGTGTACATATATATAGTACTCCTAAAAATATATTTTGAAGTTGATGACTGCTAAAGGTGGGGTCAATATTTGGCCCCCTCTTTGATTTCTTTTATTCTTCTGCCATATGTAGATACGTAAAAATTATCAATAACTGCATAAATGATTATTCATAATTACAACTGATAACCGTAGACACCAGGTTAAGTGACCCCGGGGGGGTATAATGGAAACAGCTTGTCTGTCTGTCCGTAGAAAAAGTTTGTCCGGTCAACTCCTTCTAAGGTAATGGACCAATTTCAACGAAAGTTCCAAGATATAATAACGGACGTCTGAAGTTGTGCATCCAGGTATTATTTTTTTCATTTTGACCCTTGTTTTACAAAGTTATGGCCCTTTGTTGAAACATCCTTGTACGGACATGCCCTCCAAAACCAAGGGGTCAATTTCAACGAAAGTTTTCAGATATGATAACTACTACCTGGTGTTGTGCATACAGGCATTGTTTTTTCAATCTGACCCTTTTGTACATAGAAATGACCTTTTGTTGAAAAACACTTGTCCAGACAACTCCTCCAAAACTGTGGCGCCAATTTCAACGGAAGTTTATAGATATGGTAACTGCCCCCTGACATTGTACATCCAAAGTAGTGCGTTTTCATTCCGACCCTTTAAGAGGAGTTATGGCCCTTTGTTGAAAAAATAACTTTGTCTGCCTCATAAACTACTGGGTCAATTTCAATGAAAGTTAACAGATATGGTAATTACCCCCTGATGTCATGCACAAGGGTAGTAATTTTTCATTTCGACTATTTTTAAGGAATTATGGCCCTTTGTTAAAAATATTTGTCTTGACAGCTCTTTCTTAACTACTAGGTCGATTTCAGCAAAACTGGTTCATCTGGGCTAACAAGATTTGGTATGTAAGAATGTTTGGCATTGGGAGGGAGTACAGGAAGTATGTCAGTGACCTATATACTTAAATAATTACTGATGGGTGACTATGGCCATCTTCACTAGCCAAGTGTTCATTTTGTATACACTCCACTTACCCTTGGCGGATATAGCCATGTTTACCGAGCCTTCAAATTTTCGTGCGTTGTCTATCGCTCGCATCCAATGAAAGTCTTACATATAGTGCTGTTGACGAAGGAAAACAGTAATGGTGACGCCCTGTACCACGGAAGCACGTTGTCGTTTATGTCAGGGTGTTTTGCCCCCAAAAAATAGGCGCACGGTCTTTTGGGAAACTTCCGGAGTTTTAAATCAGTTGGTGGAAATCCTTGACTACATGCCACATGTAAATGATGACCTGGGAAAATATGTGTGCTGCCTTTGGATTGTTTTCATATTGCTCTGTCATTTATACTCCACCTTGACATACACATGCTTTTGTCGACAAGCCGATGGAGTGTGTATGTAATGGTCATTCTGATTGGTTAAAAAAATTTTGGGAGCAGAGCGATAACTCGGTATATCCGCTAGGCGGCAGTGGAGGGAATTATGAAAGGGTAAGTGGAATGTATACGAAGCGAACACTTGGCTAGCGAATATGGACTATGGATTGCTTTGCAATGCTTTGTCTTATATAGTTAGCCCTTTGCTTACAGTTCACGTTTTTATAGGAGCGGGAGGTATTAGTTAACCTTTGGCTTACAGTTCTAGTAATTATTTTATTTTGCCTATTGTCCATTCATTAAACAAAATATGAAGGAATATTACATTAATTTTTATCGTTAACTCTTAACAAATAAAGTAAGGAAAGATATCCTTGTCCGACTCCCAATACAAACATTTTATTTTAGCAAATTTGATTTAGTGACCTTAATCAAAGGTCAAGGTCATCAATGTTTACAAAATTTAAATCCATTCACATGAACAACCTACTTGCCAAATATCAAGACCCAATGACCTATGGTCATGAAGAAACACAACTTAAAGGAAAAGTGGAAAGAAAGCTATGTTTTTCTTTTATTTGAATCAAAAGTGTTATATGACATATTTACTGGTTGTCAACTTTTTTGAAATTCCTGATGTTGAAAGTTGATATTGGTAGCCAACTTTCAAGCAAGTATGAAAAATAGACTCATTTAAGAACTGTGTTAATTATCTAGTCAAAAAAGGAAATTTTCTCATTTATTATAATAGTAATGAAATGGTGTAATATTTGGTATCAACATAACAGTTGGAATATGTTGCACACGATGATGATAAAATTTTATAGTAATTATGTCATTTAAATGCTCTAGGAGGAATTGTATTACCGCACCTTTAACACCCACACAGGTGTAAGTCAATGAGGTCCCATTTATCATAAAATAAACTGTGAAAATAACTGTTCCTGATTTAATCTTCCTATACCGATACCTTTTTGTATTTATCTTGTTTTGAAATTCCAAGCAGGGGTTGACGCTAATGTTAAATCTCCATAGACAATGACCCTACCTTTGTAGCACTTTGCTTGTCTAAACCAAAACAAACAAGAAGGGAAAGATTGATAGACAGACGAAAAAGGCATACGCCCCACTCTAAATATGAAATTGGACATCCCTGCAGTCAATGTAAGAAATAAGAAAAGAAATACAATAATATGTGTTCACTTACCACAACCTACTATCAATATTTGACAATAGAAATGTACTGGTAAACTGAAACAAACTGTTAGTTTTGTGTGGCCTTACCCTAGTTGTTTGATGGCCTCCATCAATGCAGTGACAAACTCAGGTGTGGCCCAGGCATCACACATGTCCTCCCGTTGGTCAAGTAGGATATCTATCACCTCCCCGGCATTCTTCAGCAGATCACCTTTAATAATATTGTACAAATCAAAGTCACACAGCAGGACGTCTTTTGGGCACAAGTTTTGAAATAAATAGCAGTTTCAGTGTGTTAACCTCTAGAGTACTTTGCTGTGATTTTTAAAAAAAACTGCAAGATATTATTTGACTAGAAAATGTTTATAAAACAAACATATGTCCCCGCATTTTCTTTGAAGGAATTGAGCCAAACAGGAAGTGCTAAGCAAAGAAACAGATCTAAATAAAATGTCTAACCAAAGTCGGTGAAGTGGACAATAAAGGTCACAGTGACCTACATTTGAAGTACTTCTAAAGATGTTTCCACATTATTATGTAGTTTTACAGAAAGTAATTGAAACACAACAAAGATTTTTTTGCACACAAACGGAAAAGGCAAAAGCTAAAAGCCCCTCCATTTTATTGTGGGCCATGGAGAGGGGGGGCATAAAAATGATGCAAGATCGAGTCAAATTTTCAATAAGGGTACACAGTACAGTATGTAGGACATCTGAATTTTATAATAGAAAAAATCTTTAAGTCACAGTTTGTATTAGATTTTGATAAAGATCTGTCAATGTATGAATATAGTATTGAATAGTAAGCCCGAAACATACAGTTAGTTGAGCTGTTCAGGATAAAGATGAGATTGTTGAGGATGTCCTCAGACTCTGACACAGCTGATATCCAGGGTCCACTCGTGGAGGGCTTCGATAAACTTGTGTACAACAACCTGGGGAACAATCAATGACACATTTTATACACAGAATTTTCGTGGGATAGAGAAAACATATAATTAAAACTGGTGTTTCAGTATGCATGGCATTCACTCAACCTATAAATTAAAAATGCAACTGACATCACCATTTTCTGTTACCAAATTAAACCTATTAATGAAATTCCTGAGTTTTTCCTAACTACAGACAAATTTTACTCGAATATGAGTTTAGCCCTTGCCTTAGTGTAGTGAAAAAATTAACCAAGTTTCATCAGGATCTGGTCATTTTCAAATGCCAGGAAAGGGTAAGCTTTTTAATATGCACAAATTTTACTCAAATTTGAATTTAACTTTAGCCTCGATATATTGATGAAGCTTAACAAGGTTTATCAAAACTGAAGGCTGCTCAGGCAAGGTATCTTGAAGAAATCAAAGTGTGAACAGATAGACTCCTCAATAAGATAACATGTCCAAAGGTTTTGACAGACATTAAATCTATTCTTACCTTGTAGATTCTACTAAAGTTGGTGGGTCTCTATTTTCCAGTAGCATGATAATCAAACTTCTGAAAAAGAAAAGAGAAACATTGATCTATTTCTTCCGACAGATTTTATCTTTCTGACAACTGGATACATGCAATATCACAAGGCTGACACTGAACATATAGCTATATATTCAATGGCAATATGACACTAGCAATCTTTTGTCCAAATCACTTGCTTTTCTTGAACTTTAATGTCCATAAAATTCACAATTGGATTTTTCTCTCACTATTTATGAAGTAGATCTAACTTGATATGTAACAACTGTTCAAAACTGTTTTACCTAATTACTAGATAGAGGGTTGGGCAAAGGAAAATGTAATGCATGTTTATCGTTACTTTTTTCCATTAAAATATTGACAGAATTAATAAGATTCCTCTCCAATCGTTATGCTCAGTTTGTCATTTAATATAACAGTGTAAGTGAGAAACATATCAGCTGACCCACTACTGAACTGCAATACAAGGTAAGAGTGAAGAAAACTGTAGGTCTAGTAACTAGATAACAATATTATGAGGAACATTTGTTAAAGGACATTCAAAATTGAATCAGATTTCTTGAAATACACTTTTATAAAAAGCAAAATACTGTATTTGCCCTAATTAACACACTGCTCTTAATGAAGCATAAAACAGGGGTGAAGTGAAAAATTACGCATAAGAAACAACTGTTAACCATATACACACATCAATCAACTTTGTGACTTGGAAATGGAATTTTTCTATCAATGACTCAATCATAATCAAACCATAAGATATTGTTTTCGAAACTAAGCGGAAGGTGCTTGTCATTAATAAGTCAATACAGTATTATATATCCATAAATATAACTTACATGAGTTGTGAATTTTCAGACATCACCTGACTGATTTCTTCATCGCATGCCATGTTGCCAAGGATACCAACACATATTTCCTGTAACAATGATCCCCAGTACATATATCTAATCAACAAATACTTTCTCTGTAGCCTAAATCTAAGTGATAGAATATCAATATGACACAAATCAATGACGGTCTGTGTGTCTTATTTAATGGCCAATCAACATATATGGTCATGCAGTCAGTGACCAAGGGAGGCCATTCAGAAAAGAAAGCAGTATAGGGTATAACAGAAATATAGACCAATTTAGGAGCCTCTAATCAGGGCTAGACATTATGAAGGGTAGCCTGATATTCTGAGACCAGCGAAATGTTAAGCTGGACTAGTGGTTCTAAAAACTGATATTGCTTATCCTGTTGAATTATTTTGGTGAGTGTTATTTGTATGGGGACTAGCACAAATTGGAAAAAAATGATTTATAGTCCTGCTCTTATGTAATCCATAATAATGATTTTGTTGAGCTCACAGGGGCAACTATCGAGAGATTATTTTAAAGAAAAGGCTTTATAATGAACTCTTGATCAATACACTACCAAGCAAAGCTGATGAGTTTAATATGAAGATGTAACAAATATATTTCAGAACAGAACTTCACATTGTGTTCTTCATAGCCATGTAATTATAAGGTACATCCCATGGCCATATGACTGCTTATTACGCAAGACATTTCAAAATTTTGAAATATAGGTACATCAAAGTAACAGACTATCCAAAACAAATATCGGAAAAGGAATTAACTTGAGGGTTTTATTTATCAAATGCCCTCATTTTGGCTTTTGCTGCAAATCCATGACTTATTGCATTTGTTTACTTATAATCTGATTGATTTATCACACCACATAATAGCTTTACTTTATGATAAAATTGATATTTTTTGTCCTCAAGTCTTTTAAGCTTTTGATAACTAGGTCATTTCATGTCCTTACCGTAACTCTTGGTGCCTTCGACTTCCCAATGACACTTACGAAAATGTCTAATGCTTTGAATTCTTGCAAGAATTTTGCAACATCCTGCAAATCATAAAAAATAAAGCATATTAAATAAAGTGTTATTAAACACATAACGCAAGTGTTTATTCAAGCATTTTTGTTACTATAAAAAATTCGGAAGAAAGTGCAAAAACATTGCACTGATACTTTTCCTTTTATGTTTTAGACAAAAAAAAAATAGAAATATGATTAGGGTTGTTGCTACCAAAATTGATTGAATTATAATGCTTTTAGAATGTTTCCTTTAACTTTATATGTGCACAAAGTCCTTCTTCAAAATCCAATTTGGACCTGGTAAGCTGTAAATTAAACATATGTTATTTTGTCTCATTAACTTCCTCATTGCACCTGTCTTATGCAAGATCTTTTTTATCCATAGGTATTATTAATATTGAATTAATTTAAGATATCTGCACTTATTTTTCATATATCATATTTGCCTACTTATAAGGCATGTTGAAAAAATAAAAAGAATAGAAATCAAGGCTGAATATTGACAGGCTTCGAAAAAATATCAAACCATTGATTCAATACATTACCATATTCATGGAGATATCCCAGAGCTTGCACAGCTCATTCTGTAGTTCCTCATCAACATCCAGTCCAAATTCAGCATCCTCATCTCCTGGCTCCGGATCTTTTTCTACCTCCTGCCCATTGCAACAATATCAAAAAGTTACAGATTTCTAAATAAATTTTGACTTGTCTTCTTATCATGTCATATCAAGCTAGCCCTCTATACCCAATATATTATTCTCGACTTCATATCAATTGTTAATAGTTCTTGATCTACATTTGTATGACACATCAAGTTCAATTTTCAATTCATGATATTTTGATAATTTAGTAACAAAATACTTGGAAATTGGCAGTCATTTTTGTTAAAATGGATCTTTCATGGAAAACCAGGACTTCTAATTGTGGTCCGGGATCTGCTAAGAAGCAAAACTGAAGAATCTTTTTCTTTCTTTCTTATCATTTCATTTGTGAAGAAAAAGGTTTTTGAATCTAATATTGACATGAATATATATCATAAATATTGTCGTGTCAGTGGTCCAAAATACAACCTTCAGACAATATATACAAATGCTTATATTCTTGCAGACATTTAAAACTAAAATGGAATAAGAAAATTGACTTCCCCATGTCATTTACCAACTGAAACCTAGCTTTATAATACATATTACTGGATCAAGCAGAATCTAAAGTCAGTCATGTATAGAGATGACAAAATTCTTCGACTTGGTTTTCTGTTTTGTGTACCTCAATAAGTTTCATGAGTGTGGAAAATAACCAGTGTTTACTGAAGGTTGTGTTACTTATGGCGTCTGCCTCTAGCAAATCTGTGTTACTGCGTAGTTCTGGAGGCGGAGACGGGTTACGGGTTGGTTCTGGAGAATCAACATGGACGATTTCTGAAAGATCAAATGATGTATATCTATAATATAGTAGCATTGCATGAGAAAGTTAAAAGGCCTACCGTGTTTGCCCTCAAAGACCCCATTATATTGGCAATATTCAAACCAAATGAGAATGATTGCATTAATCATTTTGTGTGCCAAGTTTCATCTGGTCCTTGTAAAGACATTTTGACAGATTAGAAATGTACATGATGGACTACATTAATTGTTAAACTTTAAAAGCTGAACACATATATATGTATACGAATGTAAATTTTTGTCACTATGTTTGCTTTTTGGGGTTTTTTTAAGCAGTTATGTTTTCCCCCGATTAATATCTGTAAACATGGTTATACTGGTTTTACAATGACAAATCTGTAGGCCTAGAGCAGTATTAGTGGCCACAAAATGAAGTCATCGATTATGCAGGGGCCCCATATTGGTACCTGTCAATCAAAATTGGGATGATTATGTGAAGAAGAATTACAATGTTATAATTTATTCAAGTACCTGCAAAAATAACAATGCAAGAAGAATATCGACGTCTCGGACCTAAAATTAACATTAGAAAAATTAGGACCGAATTGTCTTAATAACACGCACGAGGTAACGTCCACACAAACGTAATCGAAGATTTTATAACTCACCATCAGCCATGTTGCATGAACCTTAATTTTTCTTGCAAAATGTTAACTATGGTATGCATGCAGACATGATATAATGAAGGAATAATGAACAGATTGCCACTGTTGCAAAAATCAACACTTCCCGCTAACCGACTGACCCGTGGGATATCCCTTTCGACTACCTCAATTTTGATTGGTTGAAACGGGGATTCCGGATGTTGTCAAATCATGGCCAAACGACAGCCGTACATCTTTTTAACATTCCGGAAAAACGTGTTTTTGGCAAAGACTTGAAAGAGGTCTGCATTACCATTTGCAGTAGTCCGAAATCACTGACAATCTCCTATTTTTCATAACGCTAATGAGGGTGTATACAAAATAGATCGCTTGCTCAACACAGAGACAAGTCCGAAATAACTGCCTAGACTATTTTCCTTTCAATTTTTATTGATCTTAATTAGGACTAACAGAAGATGTATGTCTCTGCACGGAATTAGAGTATCTAAGTCCGTGGTCTCTGGTCCACATAAACGCGAACGGGTCTCTAATGATAAGTCATTAACGATATCAACCTTTAAAAGTGAAACATCGTATTATTCATAATTTTAGATAAAAGAATCGAAGATCGCATTAAGATCGTAAGGTAAAGTCTACGTCTATCGATATTTTTCATTTAAAGTACAAATATTTGGATAAATTGCAACAATCAAAAGTTTAAAATCAAACTTAAGTGTTTTATCTGAAAGGTTGTGATTACTTTGTTTAGTATTTGGTATATAAACATTTCTAAAACTAATTGATGTAGATAACGATCCAATTTGTATATGGTTACAGATGAAGTTACAAAATCTTATTCAACTGCTATATATAGATTTTAGGGTAAATCGTAGGTGACTGTACATGTACGCGGGTTAAAAAGCCCAACTTTCTTTGCACAAGCTTAAACATTCAGCATCTGCAATATGACTAAAATCATATCTAGACCACTGAGACCACTTCATGATATAATTACCTCACAGCGAGATAGCTACATGTAGGTACAGTTTATATAATTTTGTAACGAAGCAGTACCTTCTATCACGGAATTAAATTATCTAAGTCCGTGCTTCTATATATATAACCTATTTAATTTGCGACCATATTTACAAGACCTGTGATACGTTTATTAAAGGATTTTGGCAAAGATTTTTTTACATCTTGTAAAAATAAGCGAAACCTGTAATATACTTCTAAAAATAGATACCGAATCATCCACCAACACTTGTTCAGGCGTTTCCCGTTACCACAGTTCCCCTGAAAAGTACGAATATCTAGAGATATTTTTATCAGATATGTCATAAACAGACAGAGGATTCCTAAAGCCAAAATACCCATGCAGATATATACGAGGCTCTAGGCTTAACAGTTGTATGGGGCGAAACTTATGGAGTTCGGTACACCAACGGAAGTACTGGAATTCAAGAGTTTGGCTAGCCAGCTGTTTTGGACAGTGTGTCATGACTTTCCAAACATGTTTCTATCCATCTCTATCCCCTTGTTCTCTTTATCAGAACGTTTCAGTTCTGATCTTTCTAACACGTCTTTATAGGAAATATTTGGCTAAAGAAAAACAAAATAATCTCTGCGACGTGTTTTTGGAAAGTTTCTAATTTGTGTCCCAAAAGTATGGAACACACTGTGAGAGTTTCCCAGGTCAGAGACATATAAAGCCATGTTGTATATATGTCTCTGCCCAGGTAGATCTGCTTGTTTGACCCCTTGAAGATTCTGACACTGTCAATATTATCCAATTTTCTATCTTTGATGAACTTCCTGCCGAGGTACGAGAATCCATTGATTTCCTCAACTTAAGTTATATTGATGCTGATTTGATTTCCAACCTTGTGGTGCTTTTTAATTACTCTTTGATAAGGTTGGTTTGTTGTCTTGGTATAATTGTAGTATATATTTTAACATCAAATAATGTTTAAAAATAAGTAATTTAATACGACTTTGTACGCAACGTAGAAAATTAAAACGAATAATTTTGATAACTCAGAATCCACGACAAAAACAACAACATAATACCGAAACGTCAACAAAAGCGTTATCGGTACTGGAGTTGAAATATAAAGTAATGAAAAGTTTCCACCGAGACAATTGAAAATACAATAAGATTAAGACCAAATATTGTGGAATGGTAAACACCATTGTCAGCTACAATAGCTAAATTTTATGCGAAAACCTACTGGCAATATTGCGTATTGTTTATGTCCTTTTATGTGAAGAGCTACGTCCCTTTGATAATTTTTTCCATCCCGAAGTGAGTGAGGTAACACAGGAGGAATGTATATGCATTGTTCCCAAACACTTATGTTCACTTAATGTGAGGTTTTCCCATAGGTTCCTATATAGATCATGTGTTAACAGAAAAAATCACAAGAAGATGTACGTCGGCAATTTACGTAAAATTTCACGAATAATATTTGTTCGTTCTTGAAATGGTCGAAGAGCATATTGGTAAGTTTTTAACATTTTAGAGAATATCAGATGTTTACTAAACATATCAGAGAATATCAGATGTTTACTAAACATATTAGAGAATATCAGATGTTTACTAAACATATTAGATAGGCTAAAGCCACATACGATACACATGTTGTTGAAAATAACCTAGACAAGAAACTTTGGAAATTTATTCGGGAAGTTGTCCGAAAAAAGTCTTCCTCCATTTTAAATGTTGGTGAGGAGACAATTTTTGATAAGAAAAAAAAAATAGCAAATCATTTCAATGATTCCTTTTCGGAAATGGCCGGAAAGCTTTCATCTTCCTCAAGTGATCAAATATCAAACTTTGATCACTTAACAATCTTTCTAAAAACAAATCTGTCACCAGACCTAATATTACGTGGATCAGATGGGGAAGATGACCGGGGTTGAAATATGGAGGATGGAGCCCTTCCGGATATCATTCCAGCTAAGATCCGTGTATGATACGCTACCATCTCCTGTTAACCTGCATCAGTGGAGATTTACGGAGGATCCTTGCTGCAAACTATGCGGAGGAAGAGGAACAATGGCTCATATCTTGTCTGGTTGCAAAGAAGCACTAAGACAGGGTAGATACCGATAGAGGCACGACAACGTCTTGCGGGTCCGAGCAGATATCCTTGAAGTGGAGAGAAGGAAGGAAAGAACTGGTGTAAGAACAAACCAGGCTGGTATCAAGTTTGTGAAACCAGGGGAGAAAGCCACAGTGTAGCCTCGAAGCACCTCATCCATCTTGGAACGGGTGTCAACATGGGAGATGAAGGTTGACCTTGACAGGAAGCTTGTGTTTCCATGAATAGTGGAAACAACACTGAGGCCTGACATGGTAATATGGACAGAGCAATCCAGACACCTCATCGCCATAGAGCTCACCGTACCATGGGAGGAAGGCTGCGAGGAAGCCCACGAGAGGAAGAAAGCCAAGTATGATGAGCTAATGGTGGCTATGGCATAAACGAGAAGAGCCGATGTGGAAGCCGACATAGACGAGTAGTGGTTTGGCCACCACTACTGACCCACCAGCCGGAGGATGTAGTGATTAAGGGTCGAAACATCTGAAGAGGACTGGCCATCACCTGATGACGTCAAAGGAGGCTTCGCGACAAGAATGACAGCAGTGACGGACTTCAAGTCAAGGATGTCACAAAATGAAATACCATCATCTGTAAGCAATCATCACTGTTGATTTTACCCAAAAATATCGTGTTCACTTGATGTAAATAAAGCAGTAGGATTAGATGACATAAGTCCAAGGCTCCCTAGATAAGCTGGGGCCAAGATTGCTCAATCACTCACCTACATAATGAACATGAGCATCAAAAGTGGTAAATTTCCAACATACTGGAAGCTCGCTAAAGTCATGCCATTACACAAAAGTGGTAAGGCCTCAGAGTTGTCCAATTATATAGGCTTATTTCTATTTTACCTGTTATTTCCAAAATATTGAAAAGGCATGTTCGCAGCACTTTTAATAATTATCTAAATACCCAAGATCTCCTCCTCTCATCACAATCTGGTTTCCGGCAAAATTATTCATGTGAAACCGCCCTTTTAAATATTGTTAATAATTGGGCACATGAAATTGATCATGGAAATATAAACGTTGTTGTCTTCCTAGATTTTAGGAAGGCTTTTGACCTAGTTGACCATACTGTATCAATAGAAAAATTGAAAATGTACCAATGTGATGTCACTGCTGTATTTTGGTTCAAATCTTATTTAAGTGATAGGTATCAAAAAGTCTCTATTTCAGGAAATCTATCTCAGGCCAAGAGGATAACCCATGGGTTACCTCAGGGCTCAATCCTTGGTCCTTTTAAGGTTTTTAGTATTTATCAATGATTTACAGTTGATAACTGCTTGCAGGACGGACATGTACGCAGACGACTCTACACTGTCTGCTTCTGGTAAAACAGTTGAATTTGTCAGAGCGAAATTAGAACATGATTTATAGAGTGAAAGACTGGTGTTCTGACAATAAAATGATTGTTAATGCAGATAAGACAAAATGTACGTTTTTAATAACTAAACAGAGGCGCTGAAAGTCAAGTGAAATTATTTATTTTTTTTGTAATGGTTTTATCTTTCCAAGTTTTTCATTACATATACATACATAAACAGGACATTCACACATTCTCACATATACACACACGGACATGAATTTAGCATTATCACAATCATTTTCATTGTCATCATAATATCATCATCATCAACATCAGAATCATCAGCATCAGCATCAACAATATCATCATCATCATTCATCTTTATCATCGTCATCATCCTCTTTCATATATAATTATTCAATCATCACCATTGCCATCATCCATCATCATCATCATCATCATTATCATTATCATCATTGTCATTTAATCTTTATCATCATCATTCAATCGTCATTCCATACGTATCTTCATCAACATAACATCATCATCATCCTCATCATCATCATCATCATCATCATCATCATCGTCGTCGTCGTCATCATCATCATCATACAATCATCATCATACAATCGTCATCATACAAGCATTAGCATCGTCATAATCAGTTTCATCATCATCATCATCATCATCATCATCATCATCATCATTAATTCATAATGATATCATCATCATTCCAGATTTACAAACATTTTACGCACATT